GAATAGTATTTCGAAAATCAACCATCCCTTGAGTAACAACTTCACTAGCAGAATGCTCCTCAACTGCTATTGTTTCATTGAAATCACCCACCACCATCCATGGACGTGTTTGGAACATGGGAGACTCTTGGTGACTCCTCAAGTCTCTCCACAGATCCCTCCTTTCTTCCTCCCTGTTAGCCGCATAGACCACTGAATAGAAAAACTCCACCTCCTCATTTTCTAGCTTCACTGAAACAGTTATGATCTGCCCGCTCTTGAAAAACGGTGTTACCCTTACTCCTGACTTCCAGACCAACCAAATTCGACCCAAGTTACTATATTCATAATTATCTAACACTGACCAATCCGGGAACACCTTCGACTTTATTTTATAACTCTTTCTTTCCTTCACTCTTGTTTCTAGAACTCCTCCAAACTGAATATTCTTTTCCTCAACCCACCTCTTCAAAACTAAGTGTTTATTGCCTTTATTAAATCCTCTCAAATTCCAGAAAAAACTAGCCATATTTATTTCTTCTTGTAGGTTTTCTTCTTCCCCACTGCTCTTGGTGGAGCCTTTTTAGGAACATTCACAACGGAAGAAGGTGATTCTGTCTTCTGCAAAGAAGATTTTTTCTCAAACTGAGCTTTTTCTTTTTGATCTTCCTTCTTATTCAGTATTTCTCCTTCCTCTTTATCTGAATCCTCCTTTGTGTTCCCATTCGCATCCTTAGTTTCCGTCAATCTTTCCTCACCCACGTCTTCAACATTATCACATACCTCTCTTCCTTCTGCCAGTACTGCAAATCTCGATACAGTACGAACTACAGCACTTGCACCCAATTGTTTTAAGCCTTGCCTCCCCGTCTTAGCAGGTGATACTTGAACAATGCTATCACTTGCTTGTCCTTTAGTTGAACTCTTTTCAATATCCCCTTCCTGCACCTTCAAATTGCCTTTCCCAACCTCCTTCTCCTCCATCTTCCTTCCCTCTTGTGTTCTTATTACTGAATTTAGGTATCTTAACTCGTGGGAGAGGAATCAAAATGAGTATATTAAGAATATCAAGCATGATCCATGCAAAATTGTTTACAGCCAAAAAAAAGAACTGTTTCTAGCAAACAGAATCATCGACTACATCACTCAGTTATGGAGTAGTAAAAAAAACGAGATAAGAGTCAAGGAGAAACAAAAGCATAAGATAATCATCGTGAAGAATCGCTTTTAGTACCTGAAAACGTTAATCTTCAAAAACAATGATCAATCCCTTGTTCTCTATTAATTATGGATGGATGATACATGTTAGAGATATGTAAACTGACCATTCTGGTTTATGCATAAATTGTTTGTCAATATAAAACTATTCATCGTAAAATGCATGCAAAATTGTTAGTCATCATAGATATGTCATATGTGTTGCAACTTATAAGTATAATTTCTAATTTTGGAATCGTCCATGACTCTTATGTACTGCATGCATTGTGTAGATAATTAGATTTGATTGCGTTGTGAATTTCACATAATAAACAATATATACTACTATTGTTTTTAAAATTTAATTTTTGTTTCTCTCAATTGTACTATAAACTCTGTGGAGTATTAAAACAATCTTATCGCCTAAAAAAGTTAGAAAAGTTTATGTTAATTTAATCAAGCTACTGCCATCATGACAATTGAATTTATAATTTCTGTGAGATCCCTTATGTATTAAAATAGGAGCATTTTAAAAAATAAACCTTGCCTTCATGTGTGATTTACAAGAGTGCCATTTACACGTGGCAGCTCCACAATCACTCTCACCCATTTTAATTAAAAGCCATTAGTTTACTAGATTAATTACTACTTTTGCCATTGGTCAAAACATTACATATATTTTCTGTACACAATTGTAATGACCCACGAATATATTTGTTGAATATTGACTTCCTTATCTATAGGGAAATACCTCACCATTAAGCCATATTTTGATATATTGATCGGATAGTATGATATACACATATCATATTGTTAACCATAGTTCTACTATTGACTTTCATTATTTGAAATACGTATTTACGAAAATAATAAAAACAAAATTTTAATATACTATTAATTTTTCACCTAGACTAATTCCAATATTCAATCTTTGTCTAAACTTATTATATAATGTTTAGAAACGAAAATGTGTTTTCTATGATATTTAAATCACACATATAGTTTTTTACTTTAATATTGAAAAAACCACATCTGTTAAGAATATTTTATTCAAATTAATATGTTTTGCTCAAAAGATTTTATTTAAACCATATCTTTAGAAGCGAAAATGAGTTGCATATTACCATATGTAATTATAGCATTTATTCCCGCGCCCTGAACTTTCCAAAAATCGATCATATAATGTCAATTAGCATTACTTGCGGGCAGATAAATGATCTTCTGAATATTCAAAATTAGGAATGTTTTGAGCTAAATATGACATTAATACCTGTTTTAAACGTACTCATTAATATAATTTGATATTGGTAATAGAAAATTACAATCAAATTAGGAATGTTGTGAGCTAAATACGACCCTAATTCCTGTTTAAAAAATACTCATTAATATTATACGATTTGTTAATGGAAAATTACAGTCAAAACCGAATCATACATGTTTTTTTTATAATACATTGATTGAGTTTAATTTATTTGTGTTGGCCAATAAATATAATTGTTTCTTATAATAGTCCTTCGAATCCGCCGTGAATTTGAATTACAAACATGATTATGGCAAGTTCTGGACAATCAATATCAATTTCGATACGTAAAAAAGATGACGAGTGCCTATCACTATTTATCCTAGCGCCACGCCTTTTTGTATATATATACAAGACCTTCTATCTAAATAGTAAATCCTTACGACAAAACATTTTTGCAAGCACAACACTTGGCGGGCTTTAACTATGATGCCAACTTGGAACATTTCAAGACTATGTGGAGAGATAGGATTAGAACTACTTGATTGTGAAAACAATACTTTGTTTCTTTTATATTTTATTAGTTTATTTTTAATTTATTGATTTTTCTTATAATATATATATATATATATTACAACACTCATGGCGGACTTTAATCAATTTTTAATTTATTTTGTTTGCTTATATTTTTTTCTTTCATATTTTATTAGTCTATATTGTTTATCTTATGTTCTATCTTATATTTATAATTTATGTATGAAAAAAAAATTCTATTACCAATGTTTCGTTTATCTTTACTTTATAATTTATTTTATATAAGTTTTTGCTTACTCTTAAAGATTCACTTCCACGAAATATTCTTTAAGTTAACAAAACAAATACACAAGTTTTTTAAAAGTTCAAAGCTTATTTATATACACAATTCCGTGGAATCCTTTATCATATAAAATGTTATATTTATTTCTATGACTTTTAACTTTCTATAATACCTTTATATTTAAAGTGATAAATTATTTAGATTTCCTCACTCCGCGCAGGGCGCGGGTTAACATCTAGTAGAGTATTAAAACAATCTTATCCGCGTAAGAAAGTTAAAAAGTATATGCTAGTTTAATCAAGCTGCTGGCATCATGTCTTTTAACTCTCCTTTAGGCGAGTGCTACATTTTTAATCTTTCCCAAATTTTAAGCGTGAGTCTATTTCTAAGCTTTAAAAACATTTGATTAATTTAACCACTTTGTCTCTTTCTAAGATTTTCCCTTTTTAACGTGTATTATTTTTGTTTTCTAAGAAGATAATAAAAAGACGAGAAATTTTCATAAGGAAAGGAAATAAATAGTTTTGTTCTTTTGTAACCTGGATTTTAATAGTTGTAACATTAAAACACGCTGTTATAATTCATCTCGAGTCATGCCCAACATCTATGTGATACTTCAATGTTACATAAGGTTACCTAGTTATGCTGTCCAAACCAAAACAAAACAAAATAGTAATTTGGTTATATAAACTCATTGTATTTTGGGTAATTTAAGTAAACAAATATTATGGGGATACTTTTATATTATTAGGCGTCGTATATTTATTGAGAAATCAGGAGAGAAAATGCCAAGGAAAGAAGAATGGTTTTTAGCTAGAAAAAGAAAAATACTCACGAGACAAGGAAATGAATGAAATTTTGGTATTTTTCTTTGGGACAAAATGAAAATTTGGTATTATTAGGCATATCTTCTACAAGATTCATCCACATCATGAATTCCAAAAATGTACCCTCAATAATTTAGTCTACCATAGTAAATGCTAAAAAAGAAATAGAAGAGCTTTTCGTCAAACCTTTGTTAATTTCTTATGCAATCATCAATCACCACATAAATATATACATGTATCCATTTGATATCCAAGTAAATATAATTCATTATTTTGCGCCATTTAACTTAACCGCTAGTTAATTAATTTGTCAGACAAGTAAGAATAATAACTTCGAATATAAAATTAGCAAGGCTACATCGATGTACTGAAAATTAACATAAATTCCAATACTACATTGTAATTCAGTTATTAGCTAGTTTAATATCTTCTTCAGAATCTACCATGCATGAAGTTATGCTAATTAACTCTTATTAGATTATACTCCACTCTTTGACCAAAAAAAAAAGATTATAATCCACTCTTTTTCAAATTACAAAAAAGAAAGAGAAAAAGGCAATAGGTAGCTCTGCCACAAGTCAAACTTTTTATAGATGACGAAGCTAAAGCTATGCTTCTATTCAACATTCCCCTCCTTCCTCAGCCTTTTAACTCCTTTCACATCCCTTATCTCTCACCAAAACAGTACAAACTTGGACATACTTCCAAGAAAATATGAAAAAAGTTCAAAGAAAAAAAACAAGAAGACTGATTTAAGAAACATATTTTTTAACTCCAACATGTTTTACGTATTACAATATGACTTTTGTTTTACCGGAAGCATTATAAGCTTATCCTTTAGAATTCATCTTCTTTTTTTCCTACGCATAGAGATATACATACATACTTCAAAACATACTTCAAACTGTCCTCTGACTCACAATCTGTCACGCTTGTGGCTTCAAAGCACCCGTGTTGGCAAAAAACATCTTGAAATGCACCCAAACCCACCTCCCCTTTTCTGCAATTCGAATTATCAACATTTTAATCTTTAACACAATACTCGTTGAATTAAAAATTACTACTTAATACTAAAATATATTAAAGAGAATAACTCCGTGTTGCTATTTCATTTATCAACATTTTAAAACCTAAATCTTAAAAGTACTTGAAGAGTTAAAGATATAAAATAAAATAAAAAATCTACATACCTTTGTGGAGAGAAGTCGAGGGGACACCTTGTACAAGTCTTCATCCACAGGCTTCGGCTTCGTCGTCCTCCGCTTCACAACCGGTGTTGGACAGCTCCTCGGCGCGTTAGTCTCACGCGCATCCGTCTTGAAGTTATGTTTCCCCTTGGAGCTGTTGCTCTTCGGCTCCTGGCCCACCTTAGCCTGAGAACAAACATATAAATCATTGCGTCGAGGGAGAGTGTTGAATTTTGGAAGGAAGAAATCAAGAAAGTACCCGGCGTCGAGGGAGGAGGATCACGGCGGGGGCGACAAGGTGGTGGTTGTCGTAAAGATCACGATCTTGAGGGTAAGGAGCGTAGTGGAGATAAGCAGGCTGCTGATGATGAGTAGTTGCTGTCTCGAAGCACTGAGTGAATGGTACGGCGTCGTTCCAGTCCCAGCCTCCAAACGCCGGCACGTGTCCCCTCCTGCAGTACTCTCCTCCTCCTCCGTATTTCTGAGAAGTTAAAAAAGGTTAAAAGGTTTGATAATACTCAAAAGAAGAAGAAAAGAAAAGAGAAGGAGCTTTTACGTAGTCCATTGTTGTAGTGATGAATGAGTTTGAACTTTGTTGATGTTTAGATATTTGCTTTATAGTAACCTAAAAAGAAAGAGAGAGAGAGATGGTCTTTTACATTACACAACACTGAGACAATGTTGTCTTAAAGTCTACTTGTAGGAGAGGGAGAGTCTAGGTTTAGAGAGAGAGAGTAAAGTGACAGTGAGTGATTGTTTTAAAAATATCAGTAGGGTAAAATTTAAATTAGCTACTCTTCTGCATCTTTTTTACTTTTTACAAAAATCTACTGTTTTGTGTGTTCAGAATTGTATTTATATTCAGTCTTCTGTAGTCTGTCTTCACTTTTATTTATTTATATTGTTTTACCCTTCTTTATTTTGTTTTGTTGGCTTTAGATTTTGTTTTTACATGGGGTTGACAAACAAACAAAAGAATTAACGTTACTTTAAAAGTGATTACATTGAACCAAGTTTCATGATATCTAACTTAAGCTGATTTATGCACTTGATATTATTATTTCTTTGCTAATACTATTACTGTTCTGTGTTGAAAAAGGGCAAGAATATATAGTATACTCCTATAATTTCTGTGGAGCAGATAACACTACTGATGTCTTATGGGAATATCCAATTTGAAATTAAGAGACAAAAGAGTTAATAAAGGAGCTTTAGGAAGGAAGGGCCACATGCAACATTACCTCTATTATGTAACACTGTGCTCTGTGCAGTGTGCAACCAACATTGCCACGATTCCAAGCAATCCATTTATTATCTTTTGTCAATTTCTCACCCTTTTTACTTGTAAATTCCATCTTTACAATAATTTTTGAATACTTTTTTCATCAGAGGTTTTGTTTGACAGAGGACAGGTGGGGTTAGGTCTATTCATATCAGCATAATTCAATTGCAACTGCTCATTGCAGCCTTTGAAATGGGGAAACAGTTAAAAAAAATACATCAACAGAATGGCTGTTAATAAATGTATAGAGGTTAGGTAAGATAATCCTTAAAATCTGGTATAATGATATAATTACATACCTTGAAAGTTAGCATACCTAATACATGAGCGTGTTGTACTGCGTTTATCATTTTAATGGTCCTCATGGATCCCTAACACGTAGCTAGACATTGGGATATAGGAATTTGAAAGTAGTATTTTATTTTAAAAGATATCGTGATGTTTTGGCTTTCAGTCTTTTGGTCTAATTTTCTTTTTCCTACTATACTCCTAAACGTATATACATTTCTACTATTAGTCCTTTCTATCTCGTCTATCTAATGTCTCTATCATTAATCCATTGGGTTTGTGTTTTCGTGCTGTCAGTTCCTTGTTTTATTTCATCTTTATACCAAAGTCCCTTTTAGTTTTACATTATTCATCAATTGTTTTAAAAATGAGAAAATTACATGTTAATTTTTCCTTCCGTCCATGAAAGACGTTGGATTGATTCTGATATGTTTTTTTCATGTATTTACTGTTCTTGTGATTAAAAAGGTCCTTGTTTAGTCGCTAGAAGTAGAACTAACCACATATTGGATATTCTAAATTGAAGATTTCTGATGGAATACTACCGAAATACACATTTGTTGAATCTGATTATCAGCCAGGAGTTTTTTTTTAAAACAAAGGTATACTACTAGTTTTTAAATTGACTATAAATACACTCTATTATATTTTTTAATCATTGTTCACCATGCAGTTTACCCTAAGCAATTTTGAAACAAACGTAAAATTCTGAACTGAAACTGTGTGGTTGGGTATAAATAATTAAATAGAAATAAATTAAAAAAATCTAAAACGATAGTTATTATGGGAATGGAATATAAAATATGATAGTTGCAAAGACACCAGAGCTAATGAACCATACATGACATATAACATCCAGTAGATAATTGTGGTCAACACATGTCACAGCTCATTAGGCAATGAGCTAATGCGAAATGGCTATAGTATTAGGTTCTACACTTGTCACAGCTCATTAGGCTCTACACAAGTCACAGCTGGTTGTGGTCAACACTCAACACACCAAAGACCATACTATCGTGCTTTTCAATGCAACATAAGATCTAATTGCATCTATGAACCCATCAAATCTAAGCAAAGAGAGATGTTGGAAGATATCAACTATTAACGATAAATACATTATATCAGAGAAATTTTAAACCATTGAAGAAAACGATTCCTGGACAAAAGAATCGGCATGGTAAAATATGGCTTTTACCAACAAAAAATGGTAGAATAAAAGAATAAAATACAAAAATAAAGTAACAGTATTGTTTTAAAATACAGAAGAAAAAAGAAATTTGAGAATCTATAGATCTGGACTATCTCAACTCTCCCCCGAACAGGGAATGAAGGGAAAGGCTACGTCCATAACTCTACATGCCTCTTAAGAAAATTGTCAAAGGCTACCTTTTGTTTTCTTCTTCTTTTGTTTCAACTGTTACTTTCAGTATTTTGTTTCCTTGACATTTGTGAGCAAGTCTGAAGTGTGCAGTAAACTTTTTACCTTCTTTTTATTTTTCAAACGTGTGTGGAGTCGATGGGGGTAAAAGGACCAATGAGAGAGCAGCTAGAATTATCTTATTCTCTTCATTCTTTCCACATTCTGCCCTATTTTATACTAACTGATGTTTTTTATTTGCTTTGTGGTTGACAATAACCAAGTAAAAAGTAGTTATTGGTGTCTCTTCCGATTACTTACGGAATTACTCAGTAGTAAATTTTGTAAAGCCCACGAGGATTTGAGGTAAACCCCAAAGAGATCAAAGAGATATATCTTCTACATGGGCTCAACTCCGGCCCGTTAAATGTCTGATGCTAACCAATGTTACTTTTCTCATACGAAGATAATTAATTGTTTTAAAAATGTACAATGTGTAGTGTTAAGAAGCCTGGAATTTTCTTCAACCATTTGAAGTAAATTATTATATAGTGGCTTGGAAAAATGTGTAATGGATAATTGATGTATGAATTAGTAGTTGCAATAAGGGTTCTCTGACCAATAGAACCTCCCAATAGTGAAGTAAATATTCCAAAACCCCGTGACTAATGGAATAATCCAACAATCTGGTCACGGGGCTCTCCAACACTTACTACATATACACCCTTCTCATGCACATTCACATCACAAACACAATTAAAAGTTTATATCAAAAAAAAGAAATAAGAGGATAAAATGGCAAGCAAGAAGGTGGTTATGATGGTGATGATGATGGTAGTGGTGATGGCTACTTTAGCGGAGAGGTCAGTAGCGATTGATCTCTGTGGGATGACCCGGGAAGAGTTGGATGAATGCAAACCAGCGGTGAGCAAGGAGAATCCGACAGAACCATCAACGCTTTGCTGTGACGCTCTGAAACACGCTGACTACAGCTGTCTTTGTGGCTACAAAAACTCTCCCTGGCTCGGTTCTTTCGGTATTGATCCCGCGCTCGCTGCTGAGCTCCCTAGCAAATGTAATATAGACAACGCTCCAACTTGCTAAGCTTTTCATGTGCTTTTTTTCTCTATAATCAAGTGTTAATGTATTCCATTTTCTATAACTATCAACAACAGTTTATAATGAACTACTTTTTTGTTGGTTTCATAAAATCTATGCCCAATGGCGTTTATTGGTTGAACACAAAGAAAGGACGCATGATAAGAGAACCAGGGTGAAAATGAAACATGAAACAAAAGTCATTAGCTAACCGATCCGGTTTGAGACAACAAAAAAAACACTCAGCGAAAGAAGACAAGGAGAGATAAAATGCAAATGGCGTGTGAGATTGTGTGTAGGTACAATCTGGTTATTGGAAGCGGAGAAGCGGAATCGTTTTGTAACCTTACGATGAGGAATATTTGAAGAAGAGAGGATAAAAAGATAAAATAATAATTAGAACAAAAAATGCATCGCCGACTGTGGGGATCGAACCCACGGCCACGGGATTAAAAGTCACGCGCTCTACCACTGAGCTAAGTCGGCTTGTTGGTTATAGATCATTAGTAACTTTATATTATCACTAAAACCAAGCCACTTCATGAAAAATAAATAAAGACTGGTTATCAATATTGGTTTGGTACACAAATTCCGGTTTTCAGTTATGGAAATCTTCAGAGCTGATCAGCAATGGCCCCAAATGAAATAATGATGTTTTATCATTCTTATTAGAGAAGTTCATTGTCCACTTTGGAAAATGTAAGTGATCATATAAATTTCTCAATAGATCTACGTTAATATTTTGATAAACTCATGAGATGAAAAGTCATGTACTAATGATTCAAGGTAGGACATAATCCCTTATCAATGTAATTTCGTTTTCATGAAGTGAGCAAGCCGCAAAGCATGGCAAGGATTTTGCTTCATACTCGCTCAATTAGTACAAAACATCTCTTTCTTTCTCATTCAGTATGTCTGGCACATGCTTTATTTCCAAATCTTCTTTTATGTGTAGCTTTATAATACACCGTTGCAATCAGATGTTTCCTTTCATACCTATATTAACACCTGTTATCTTATAACAGAGGTTACACAGTTACTACCAATTAGTAGTTGACCACAAAAAGTTATAATGATCTAACCTTAACTAGCGGAAAGTACCATAACACATGCATTTCTGGCATGGTTCAATTTGCTCAACGAGTTATACATAGGCCGGCACTGCAAGTTGTTATATTACAACATGTGACATATTTATCGTTGTCTTTTTTTAAGACTGAAACAAAGAAGGATACAAAGTAGGATTCAGATATGGAATACAATAGCTGGCAGGTTCCAAACCACCAGAGAAAAAGCCCTAACAAACATGGAGACATAACCGAAACAGGAGAGACTAAAAAGAAAACCAATCAAAACAGAGTTGGGAGAAAATCACCAGCCAGACACATGCCATAAACCAGAACAACACAGACAAAAGAAGCTAGAGAATATGATTTAAGCAAGTGAACGGAAAATACAGCAAACTGTAAACAATCTTATTGGGATAAAGAATATGATTACACAGGTACATATATTAGACATTACATACATATTATGTATTATGCTAGATTGCTAGGAGAAGAAAAATACATGACAAAGTGCAAAACATAAAAAATACAAAAACATTCATTCACCTATGATCGCTCCAACAACCGAATCTCAACATTCCATACAAAACCCTCCGACACTTGTTCTTCCCGTCTAAACTTACGCTCACATCTCTCACTTCCACTTCAAAACAGACCGAACAAATCAAACGTGGAAGAAAAGAGCATCTGACCTCAAATGGAAGGTGTATCTGTCTATGTGTCTTCAAAAATCCATGAGTAGCTAAAATTTTTCTAACTTGTATAACTTTATAAACACATCTTCATTACAACATTCATCAACTCTTTTTGGCTACACAATGTTTCTCCCAACACTTTCATCTACTTCATAGAATTGTAACATAGACGACCGAATCTGCACACAAAACACATGACATAAAACATTAATATAACAATTACACATCAAAGTAACAAGAGATTAAAATCCATTACCTTATCATCCCCACGAAACTCATCCTCATTCTCAACAGCAACACAATCTCTAGGCGTCTCGAACAAAGCCATAGAGTACTGCTTACGAACAACTCCGACATCAAAGTATATAACACCAGAGCTAGGTATGTCCACACGGATCCCTTTAACCGGAAACCAAAGAAAGAGCTCCTGCGCCGTTATACCCGTTAAACCACCGATGCTTCCGTAACCTATCGTTCCCGTAATATTCGCCTCGTAATGTATCTCGCTCTCGTACTTAGCCTTACACGATCGGTTTAAAAAAACCGAGAACTGTCCCGTCTTGGTGTCCACGTTAAACTCCTTCACACCTTTTGGTAATAGCCCCATTGGTAAGGCATGTGCTTTAAGGACATCGTATATAGAATCATTCTCGGCGAGGATCGAGATCGTAACGGAGGCGATGATGAGAAGATGAAGAACACGATGCATCTTGAATTGTGTTTGCTACGTGATCAGAGAGATTAGGGTTTAAACGATGGAGGAGGAGAAGGAAGAAGACATTGGTGACAGCTTGAAACAGAGTAGATTCAAGAATTATTGTAAGGAAAAAAGGAAGAGGTACGAATCTTGTGTTTCTGTGTTCTCCATGTCGGAACAACGAATCATCCAATGGGAGGATGACACGTGGAGTAATAGTACTGTAATTGCTTTGGAATAAGAGGGTTAAACATTTATGATCTGTCTGTCCTGAAAGATGATTGGGCCTAGACGTTGGAGAATTAATGGACTGTGCTCACATGGGAAGTGTGTACGGGAATAGAACACGCTCGGTTACTGCGCGTGGGAAACAAACGCGAAGGTCTCCGTGATTGCGGCTTGGATAGAAAAAAAGGAAACGTGGAGGCGCGTGATTGCGATTGGAAGAAAGGTTTTAATCTGACAAAAGGATCTTTTCGAAATAATCCAGAGATAATCTTTCATTTGCATGGCTGCATGTGCGTTTCTTGATAGGATTGTTTTGTCTCGAAGTTGTGAACTTGGTCAAAATTCTAATTCATTACTAATTCTAGACAGTTGTTTGTTTCTTTGACTTGTTACCATCTTTTCTTTTCAAGAAATTTTCAATAATCTCACATTCTTACATTATTAAATTATATCGGCAAGTGACGCAATTAGAAACAAACAATGTTTATCAAGCGGTAAACGGTAAACCTATAATCAATAATCAGAACGTTCAAGTATCAATTAAAAGAGAGAAAGAGAGAAAATGGAGAGATGAGAGAGAATAGAGAGAAGGCGGCGATTAGGGTTTTGGAGAAAAAATTCCCAAATCAGATCTGATTCAAAACCCATACAATCAGTGTTCCGCGTGTTCTAGAGTCACTGCCTTCCAATCCTTCGCACCTCTGTTCGAGAAACCAAGAAGAATCCCATACGAAAGATTCAGGGGGCTAAAGGCGGAGAATAGTAGCGGTGAAGGCTCAAGGATTTCTTGTCTCTGAGAGTCTGCAACGTTTCATTAAGTCTTAGTGACTTCTTAGTGGTGGTTAAAGGACAGGAAAGTTTGTCGTTCAAAAAAGAAGTAATGAATCGACCTCGCAAGAGGAAGGAGCTTTCCTTGCTGGAGGAGCTCAAAGGGATGGAGCTGCTGGAGGAGGGAGAGATGGTGGATATCCCAGATCTGGAAGTGGAGGATCTTATTGAAGAAAACACACTCAGTGTTATCGTTAGATGTCTTAACCCCCAAGTCCATAAAGTTGGAGGGCTTGTTAAGGCCTTACCTCCGATTTGGGGGATGGAAGAGAGAGTTCGAGGAAGAGGTGTAGGGGAGGATAGAGTACAGTTCATCTTTGAGTCAGAAAGTGACCTCCAATATGTACTCTCTAGAGGGCCATGGTTTGTTAACGGTTGGATGGTTTGTATGGACCAGTGGTGTCTGAACCCACCTTCGGAGTTCCTTTGTAGAATACCGTTCTGGATCAGAGTAAGAGGTCTACCGATCCATTTGTTGAAGAAAGAGGTGGTGGAGATCTTGCTGGGTCCGCTGGGTAAGGTGGAAAAGGTTGAACTTCATGCTAAGAACTCAAACTCCCTGGAGTACATCAGAGCTCTGGTTCACGTGAATACGGAGGAACCCCTACAGTTCAGATTGACGGCAAGACTCAAGTCCGGTGTGACCATACCTACAGAACTCGAGTATGAGAAACTACTCAAATTATGCTTCTCATGTAAGAGACTCACGCATGACCAGGCCAAATGCCCGTTACAAGTCTGCGAGCCGGAGGAGGGGGAGTGGGGGAAGAAGGACCAAAGAGCTGCCCAGAAGCTTAGGACAAAACTTCAGGAGAAGGAGAGCAAAGCCAAAGAGGCTCTGCGTTTTTCCGCAGGTAAAGGGGAAGCTGTGAGATTTTCATCAGTAGGCGGTAGCCACAGGGGAGGTAGAAACAAAGTCTCAGTTCCAAACAGAGAAGGGAAGAGCGAGGATAAAAGAAAAGGCAAACGTGTAGCTCAAGATAACCAGCTGGTGTGGAAAAAGAAAGGAGAGAGAGGCCCTGCGAGAGTCTCGCGCAGTACATAGGAATCAATAGCGACCCCAAGGATCTCGGAAGACAAGGCGGGATCTGCAGATGGAGGTAGTGCTGCTGCTACTCCAGCCTGGGTTTCTGTATTCAATAGACTTGGAGGATCAAGTGAAGAATAAGAGCTTGTACGGAATAGAAGTGGAGGATCAGGAGATCGTTCAGGGAGTGATCTCAGAAACAGACTGAGTGGGGGCTCTCAGTATGAAAAGCACGAAGCCAAATCGAGTAAAGGTAGTCGAAGCCCACCAACAGTCTTTGAGAGACTAGGAGACCAATTACTGTCTACCCCCAAAGGCGATCGTATTGCTGGGTCAGCATCTTCCAAGAGAAGAAGGCTAAGTACGAGTGATGACAGAAGGTCAAAGAAGGCACGTATGAATCCCCAAGAGAAAGAAGTTTCTCCATCAGTCTTCCTTCGATTGGGTGACCCTAGAGTTGTGACTGATGGCCGTGGTAAAGACTCAATAATTCATTCTGCTCAAGTAGCAGCACATACTCCTGTTCAGTCTGCTGTTGTAGCAGGGACATTCCCAGATCATTCTGTCCGTAGGATAGTATTGACAAGTGGATCATCAAGGAAAGAAGGGTTGAAGTTTAATACCAACCCTTCGAAGTCCATATGAGAATACTTAGCTGGAACTGTCAGGGGTTGGGGAATACCCCTACAGTTCGCCATCTACAGGGTATACTTGGTCAGTATCACCCTGAGATAATATTCCTCAGTGAGACCAAAAGTAGAAGGAGGTATATGGAGTATGTTGTGGAGAGAATGGGCTACCATAATCTTATTGCTGTTGATGCCAAAGGCAAGAGTAGCGGATTGGCTGTGATTTGGAAGAACTCATGTGAAGTTGTAAAGATCCAAGCTAATAGTAGAGTTATTGATGTGAAGGTTAACTGGCAGGATCAAACGTTTTTCCTCACTTGTGTGTATGGAGATCCAGTGAAACAGAAGAGAAGTGAGGTGTGGGAACGAATAGCAAGGATAGGAGCTGAAAGATGTGGAGCATGGATGCTGGCTGGGGACTTTAATGAAATCCTTGATCAATCCGAGAAGATAGGAGGAGCAGAGAGAGCAGATACAAAGGGCGAGGAATTCAAGCAGCTCCTTCTCAATTGGGGCCTGTGGGATATAAAATATAAAGGGGATTGTATGTCTTGGGCGGGTAGAAGAACAAAAGGTTTAGTCCAGTGCCGCTTAGACAGGGCTATAGCGAACCAGGAATGGTTAACTTTGTATCCACAGGCAACCACTTTTTATTTACAAAGAGCTTGTTCTGATCATAGTCCCATTCTCACTGCACTCGATGGTTATCAGAAGCGGAAACTAACACTCTTCAGGTATGACCAAAGGTGTGTGAGAAGAGAAGGGTTCGTGGAGACAGTGGACAGGAGCTGGAAATCACATGGTAATGGTCAAGCGAGTATAATGTCCAGAATAGCAGGCTGCAGGAAGGCTATTTCTGTGTGGAAGAGACAGGCGAAACCGAATTCTGCATTACGAATCCAGGAGTTGCATTTCAGGATCGACGAGGCATCCCGTCAAGAGCGGTACAAACGAGAGGAATTGGAGGCCCTGAAAAAAGAACTTAATGAGGAGTACCTTGATGAAGAAACGTTCTGGAGGGAGAAGAGCAGGTTAAATTGGTTGCGGTCAGGAGATAAAAACACCAAATTCTTTCACGCAGTTACGAAGAACAAGAGGTTGCAATGTAGAATCAAGAGTCTTGTAGATGATGAAGGAAAGGAATGGTTCGCTGATCAGGATCTGGGAAGGGTGGCAGAAAATTACTTCAAAAAGTTGTTTGCTTCTGAGGATTTAGGCTTTCAACTAGAAGAATGGGGTGAAATACCTGCAGTCCTATCACTGGAGCAGAATTCACATCTCTTATCGCCTGTGACAAAGGAGGAGGTGAAGAGGGCTGTCTTTGATATTAACCCGAATAAATGCCCGGGTCCTGATGGCATGAATGGCCATTTTTTCCAGCAGTTTTGGGAGACAGGAGGTGAGGATATAACGAGAATGGTGCAAAATTTCCTTGACACAGGCAGGCTGGAGGAAGGAATAAATAACACCAATATATGTCTTATCCCAAAGACGCTTACCGCGAAGAGGATGAGTGAGTACAGACCTATCAGCCTGTGCAATGTGGCTTATAAAATAGTCTCAAAGGTGCTGGCGAGAAGGTTGAAGAAGGTGATGCCTACAATCATCTCAGAGACTCAAGCGGCGTTTGTAGAAGGGCGCCTGATCTCGGATAACATCCTTGTAGCTCATGAGCTTCTGCACGCGCTAAATTCTGACAATAAGTGCTCAGAAGAATTTATAGCGATTAAAACTGACATTTCGAAGGCCTACGACCGAGTAGAGTGGTCATTCCTGGATAGAGCTATGAGAGCTATCGGTTTTTCAGAAGTATGGAGGAAACTCATTATGAGCTGTGTCTCATCCGTTCACTACCAAGTTCTCATTAATGGAGAAACTTTTGGAAGCATTAGCCCCACCAGAGGGCTCAGGCAGGGCGACCCGCTCTCTCCATACTTGTTCGTGATTTGCACAGAAGTACTTGTCCAGATGCTGAAGTTAGCGGAAGAGAAGAGGCGTTTATCTGGCTTGAGAGTAGCACGAAGAGCTCCCCCTGTTTCACATCTTCTGTTTGCAGATGATAGCATGATGTATTGTAGAGCTACAGATGAAGAGCTTGATTATTTGGTACAGACGCTACAAAGGTACAGCCTAGCTTCGGGGCAAAGGATAAACTACCAGAAATCGAGTGTCTATTTTGGGAAACACATCTCGGCCAGTAGAAGAGAAGCTATCAAGTTAAAGCTGGGAATTGAGCAAACAGGCGGAGAGGGGTTCTATCTGGGGTTACCGGAAGCTTTTGGTGGTTCAAAGGTCTCTCTGTTGAGATACTTACGAGAAAACCTTAATAAAAAAGTTCATGGATGGCAGACACGGTTCCTATCCCCAGCAGGAAAAGAC